CCAGTGTGCTGAGGTATGTATTGACACGTATATAGTAACCAAAAGTTGAAAAATTTTACGAGTAAAATACATATAATAGAATTTTTTTGGAAATTGTTAGAATAAATTTCTTCTTCAAGTTTTTGATATTAATGAGAAGATCATGTTGAGAGACTTCTTAGAATTCTTATTGTAACGGCACTTTAGATCTCCTACGTCTTCTTTGTAATTATGCACGCTAAAGCGGTTATCTCACAGTTATTTACGGAACAGTATTATGTAACTACTATTACTTGCAGTGTACTTGTGCTGCATACATACAAAATTTTTAATTAATTAAAATCAATTAAAATTAAGTTATAGTATATCAAAACACATACAGCAAATTTAATTATAAAGCTAAAATACAAGAATATAACATTAAATATGATTAAATTCATGTCTTTTAATGTATAATAATGCTTTGCACATTTTTAGATATTTTTATAAATATTATTACCGCCTTGTATAAGACGTTTTGTAATCTAGAACAGAATTAGTAACAGTACATAATAGAATCTATAGACGTTACTGTAAATATTTTTACTATATTAATTTTACGATAATTAATAAATTCTAGCTGTTAGAGGACAAAATGTTTCTTAAATCAATTTTTTTAATAAGGTTTGTGTTTATAATTTTCGCTTTGTGCTTGATACACCGTTCATGGATGTACAAATCAATAAGTTTCATGACAGTTAGCTTCTTTCCAACTTTAGTTGATTAAATACGACTTATCTGCGTATCGATGATAGAGAACAAATGTTTCCCACGCGAATATCGAAAGGTCAATTACGACATCCAATCCTACTGTGACATTTGACCGTGAGCAAATATTAAAAATATTGAATTCTTGACAGGTCAATTATGGATAAGTCGGCCATGTCGAATATTACATTTGACGTGTCTACGTTAGTGCGAGCGAACGCCATCGACATTCACGCACCCGTGATGCCACCTGAGCCGGTGCGAACACAAACTGCGATCGCGTTTAGCGGTGAGGTATTCCCGTACGCGTTGATCATCATCGCCTGCGTGATCCTGATCCTCGGCATTGCCGGCATCATCTACATTTGCGTCTCTTGGTCCAAGTAAGTTACAGTCATGCATGATTTCAATGTTGGAATCGCAGCATGATTTCGCTACTAGTAATATAAAATACATCGACAAGCAAGATTTAATTATAAAGTTATAAAATACATAAAAAAAAAATTTTCAAATTAATTAATATTATAATTAAAAAATTTTCATGTTTTCATACGATAAACATGAAAATTGTTGCATCCATGCACAGTTGTATTAATTATTATGCATACATATCATTCTAAGCTATTATTACGATCCTCAACTGTTATTATACGAGTCGCATGAGAGAGTCGCTTCGCGAGTATAAATATTCATTCAACTAGTCGAGTGTGAGTGATGCAAATTCATACAGCTCTTTATTATCTCTATTAGCTTTAATTGCAATTTCCACTCCGACTATCTTCCCTAGCACTTGCTATTTCAACGTTGCGATCGCTGTAAGAATAATCTTTCCGGGTTGTTTATGAAATTCCTTTGAGAGAGTTTCTCATGAAAATATCTTGTGACGTAGGTACAAAGCGTACAAGGAACGTATGCAACGCATGTACGTAATGCCGCGTTATGATCCCGTCTATGTGGAACCGAATTTGAAGGAGTACGAGACGCAGGTACTCCAGATGAGCGTGCCGGTCGACGACAACGACAGTTGCAATGATTTACAGTTGGACTTCAGCAACAAAAATCACGCGTTCAGCCTGGACAATGTCAGTTACATCACCAAAGATCATGGAGACAGTACTGGTAATTCGAAAAAAAATATCTGAAAATTCATACAAGATCTCTAAATTTATATCGCCAAGTTATTAAATAAAAGAAATTATGTGCGAGAAAAAACTGGTATCTATCTCCTTTTTTGCATTATTTATTGCAATGTATTAAAAAGTGTCAAAATGACAAAGCACACAGTTTTAAAAATATATTATTTTCTCGTATATTAACTGTATCAATATTTCGTAAAGCGAAATTATTTTATCCAAAGAGGATTTTAGCGACGATTTATCCCCGCACGATATGTATGTATACATCGCTTACGCTACGATTCCAAGTATATACAGCGAGCTTATGTGTTTCGTTTAAGGCCAACAAAGTCCCGTTAGCTCCGAAGCGGCAACTACGGCGCGCGCGTCCAGCATCGCCGGTAATCACGGCGACACCAATATCCATTCCCTGCGGCGATCCACGCTGGGCCGAAAGAATCACGGTGCGAGCAACACAAATACCTTGAATAATCGCGACGCGACGCCGGTACTTAATCCCTTGTACAATCACGGCGCAGATCTCCTGAGCCCTAGTCCGTCCAACGACAACGTCACCTTCAGGGAGAGAAAGGATTACTCGCATCTTGGATTTACGTATCTAGGCGAGCAGAGTCCCGTAGAAACCACGACGGAATTGTAAGTTACATGATTCGACGACGTGCAAATGGAAGCCACGTATTGGCTCAAAAACCGTCACCGAATTACACGTATGTGTTAAAAAATAACACAAAAATGAATTAATATGACAGTGTAATTTTGATATCGTTTCGATATACAAGTAAGACTGTGATGGACGTAATATTTTTTTACATCAAAGTTTTATCGAGATATACCGTAAGATATTAAAATGCCTAAAATCTTACATCGCGTAAAAATCATGTCAACAAGCATCTCATCTTGCATTCACAATATGCATATAAAATAGACAATTATGTGCCTTTTTTGCATGTGTGGCAAAAAAAAGCGGTATAAAGTGTACTTAATTTCGAAAAAATGCGTAATATATGACATATACAAGATAGAATTCAGAATAATTGCTACCGAGTAGCGCATACTTTTTCTCATATGTACAACCCCGAAGCGCATATAGAGAACATGTCAAAGCTTACGGAAAATAGTTGAGTGATTACGTACATATATATATATATATATATATATATATTCTGCCATTTCATATGTTGTCTTTTGAATGTGAATCGATACCCGCGTGCCGATTCACGCGAACGCGCAAATGTATCCGCAGAATTCCCGGCGGAATATATTCTGAACGAGTTACTTCGCATGTGATATCCATAAAAGAGTAGCGTGATGTAGCGTTCAGGTATATCCGTATACCGGCATGAAACGAGGCCGTGAAAATCGCGCGTGCAAAAGAGGCGTGTAAAAAGGGCGAACGAAAGACTGCGAATATCTTTCTGAACCAATATTTTATTTGATTTATTTCCCATCGTACATTGAATTTTCGCAAGGCTAAAGCTTAGGCAATATGTTCCGCCAATAAATTGCGAGATTACAAATAAACGCCATCGGGATTGCAACATAAATTATTATTATTATTATTGTGACTGTGGCTCTAAGCGCAGCGCGAGAAAGTTGGATTAATGAAGGCTCATTAATCGAGTCTTGACTAATAACTTTGGAGATGTTCCGTATTCTGCGGAAATTCATGCGGACGCGTACATTTTAATTATAGAAAGAGAGAGAGAGAGAGAGAGGAGGAGAGAAGAAGAAAAGGAAAGAGAAAAATTGCAAAAATATTACTACAAATATTACTACAGATGCAACCGTCCAATGCATAGACTTAGATTCGAAGACGAGGTTGTAAGTTTATATGAGTGTATTTGGTGAGTGCGTATGTGCGTCTGTGCGAGTCTTATCGGCTCGTAATCTTGTAAATGGGTCGATCCCGATCATTTTGTACTATAATATCTGTTTATTTATACAATCGTTTTTGCTCACGTCATATTCTATTGTATTATAATCATAATTAACCGACGCGATGACGACGTATATCGTTGCGTATTGTATGTATGTCCGTGTAAAAAAAAAAAAAAAATCGCAAGAACGCGTTTTATTAAATTTCGTCAAGTTTGAACAATGACTTTTACGCGCTTCCATTGCGACTATTGCTCACTCTTGTTCACACGATCGCGTCGGCGGTCTATAATTAGCGACTGCCATAAAAGCGAGGTAAAAAAAAAACGCGTCATACGCCGATGGCATAAGTGGTAAAGCGTGTATTTAATCAGACACGCGTAACTGCCCATTTTCTCCTAGTTTCGACGACGCTATTTGATATTGTTCGATATTAGATTTGACAGATCCGTTTTATATAAGATATCGTATGAAACGGCGTCGAGTGGAATTAAATATGATACGACTTGATTGAATGTATATCTCTAGTCGTATAGCGGGCGTCCACTGCCGTGCAATTTATGTAAGCTGTTTTATATTAAAAAAAAAACAAACCAACAAACTTTTGTGTACGCGTGTTACAAGTGCTCTTCGATTTTATAGCGTTGATGTCCTTTAGTCGTAGCTGTACAATATTTAAGCGCAAATTTTGTAAAAATTGTTAATACCTAATAATAAAACTTTATTATATTTACATAATATATAACGAGGCTTTTTTTTCGAGGCAACATTTCACATGACATATCCTTTTTAGCGTAAAGCAACGAACTGTCGAGTTGTTACGCAAACGTTAATTTAAGCTTCCGCGTAACTAAATTAGCCGCGGTTTCGTCCAATTCCCACGTAAGATCTTTCGCATTTGTTTCACACTCGTGCAAGTCACGTATAGCAATGTGTAACAATGAGTTGTTCCTTCTGTAGATAATTCATAATTTTGCCATCCGGATAATATTTGAGATATTCCCTTATAGGAAATTTTTTTTATTATAATATTATTTTTAATTCATTCGACTTTATATTCTATGCAAATTCAAAAAGAACGGCGATAGCCACGGTACCTTAATTAACCTTGGGTTATTATAGAATTGCTATACGGTAAGTAGAACAGCAGCGTGTTGATGAAGCTTCCCCCGAGACCGTCGACGGAGTCCTGGGTGGCGGGTGGGGATCAACTATGCCCCTGACGATAGAGCGTCGGCGCCGCGACGGCGGAAGCACGCAGACGCATCTGGACCGATGTCGATGATGTACAGACGTGAGAAAGGCGGCGGACGGAATCCGGCGGCATACTCCAGTCCATTTCGATTCCGCTCCGCGTTTAGTCTACCGTCGGGATTAACGAGTAAAGGAATTCGCACTTTCGACACGCGAGATAAAACACCTGGATGCTGAAGGAGGTTCTATCGATTGATATCGACGAGTGATAAGCGGGTCCGTTCTTCCCGTCTGTGCTCTCGTTGCACCTGCTCGAATGCGTTGCGACGCCCGAATGTCGCGCAGATCGGAACGTTAGGAGAGAGCGATCTCAGGGAGGAATGACAGAACGCACGGATATCGCGAACCACCTGTGAACCACGGCTGGGGACACGTATCAAGACAGCGATGATCTTTGAGGATTACGGATGTAATCTGTGCATCTGTGTTTGTGATTTCCATATTGATAACTGTGTGACATTGTTTGTAAAGCGCGCGACGGACTGTGTAATCGTGTGACAGTTATATACGAAAGTGTCCCGCAGGGATAATCGAGAGCACAGCTGACGTCGATATCAAGTAGAGTAAGCTAACTCGCTACTGACAGGTACAATGCCTGTATACAATTTTGCTATCTAGAGTTTTTGTTTTTGTAATGATGCTTTTTGATAGTTTAACGATCTGTGTCTTTAATATAAATAAAAAACTTTATAAAATTCTCGGTAATCGATAAATAAATAATTCTAAATCGTGTGTGATGTAATAAAATAATTTAAATAATAAACATTAAAAAAAAAATTTTTTTTTAATTATAATAATAATAAATAATCTCTCAATGTTATACTAGAAGCTGTGACTGGGAATTAATAGAAAAAAAAAAGTATTCCTTATACGAAATTTTCGATATCGAATGAAAAGTGTTCTAAAATTAAAAAATTATCTATCAAGTTCTATTAAAATGGAAGGAGAGAAAACATGTTTTTTAACGTCTTTGAAAGAAAGAGAGACAGAGATATTTAAATGTTGTTATTATTTAGATAATTAATTTTGCATTATCTTTATGCGTTAATATGCATAAAACAATATAAATTGTAAACCAGAGATATAAATCAAAAAATTTAATATTTATATGGTATATTAATATTATACATATATATATATATATATATATATATTTGATCTTACAACTGGGGTCACGTATCGTGTTATATTTGCAGATTGATGACTAATTGGAGGGTCAAGGATAACAAACATGAAATACTTGAAAATTGCGTTATTTACGTTTAATCTATTAATATGGGTAAATAACATGCACTTATACTTTATAACATTATAAACTAAGTCTAGAAATAGCGACACGTACCGACAACTTAGACGCGCTGGTACTTGAACTATAAATATTTCTTCTATGTGTATTCCAGAGCAAAACAATTATCCTTTAAATGTTTGCATCGTTGGATCAACGTCAGATTAGATTATATCTCTAGAGAAAGGCACAAAATATGATTTAAACATTATTTAACTTTATGCGTATTTAGGGAAACACGCGGTTTCTTGCGGTGCAAAATTATCGTCGCGATAAAGGAAGAAATGAAAAATTACCGTGCGATTCTTTTTCTTTTTGGTAGCTGGCTGGCTGCATGGTGCTCGTTATAGGCGCCTGGTTGCTCCTGGAGCCCAGCAAGGGGCACATCCTCAATCTTTTCGTATCTGACGTGAAGCCGCACGAAACTATTAATCTGATAGCTTATAGCCTTCTCGGGCTCGGTTTTATCGTGCTTACGGTCGGCTTCTTCGGCTGTCGCGCCGCGCTACGCGGAAATCAATGCATCCTCGCCACCGTGAGTAAAACGACATTTTTACTGCTCACCTCGTCTTGGCGCGGTTACCGTTATAGATCGTCGGGGGTCAAGGTCGGCGATTTCATCGCCATTCGTTTTTTCGCAGTACATGAGCATGCTGGTTGCGCTCATCGTCACGGAACTGGTGACGGCGGCCATCGGTGGGTTGATGACTTTCCAGATCTTGTCAGATCTGGAGGAAAGGCTCACCAGCAAACTGGCAGTGAATTATGGTCACGATTCGACCAGCGATATCCCCTTCAGCCACAGCTTGGATTTTGCGCAGTATAAGGTGTCGCATTAAGAGGGTTGATCTAATTAAATGCTCATCTCGAGCTTTGTACAACATATTTTCGTGAAGTGGCTCATGTTTTTAGTTACATTTTCCTTTTGCGATATTTTATGATTTTTTTTATTTTGATATGAATCCACTTCTTGTACAATTTTCCGACTTCTGCGGTAAAACTTATTTTCTGTGTATCTTGTGATCAAGATTTCAATTGTGTTCTGGATTTATTCTCGCTAAAAATCGCATGCTGTAATTATCTCTGTGCACGGCATTTGAGCGAAATAATAATACAATTTAACTTTTTTATTAAATATTTTGTTAAAAGATCTTTTCTGTGTCTCGGCTTATTTTTTCTGCAGCACATATTATGCGCGAAATATGTGCTTGTAAATTATGTTTCATGCATGACGGGGTCGCATGCAATGCTTTGTCAGAAATCGTTCGCCCGACGAGACATTTCGCGATGATTCGAAGAGCACATTAGTGGTTCCATTGCAGTTTAATTGCTGTGGAATCCATGGCGACGACGATTACAATGGTACGGCTTGGTGGAGAGACGGTCATTTTTCGGGAAACAGGAGGCAGGTTCCCCTCACATGTTGTGTTCTCAAAAATTCCGAGGTATCTTATGCAATTAAATTTATTGTTTTTAGAAAAACATGTTTTGATCAAATCTTTGAAAGAAAAGATTGGGATAGTTAATAAAATATGTTTTGAAAACACAAATACAAGTTTAAAAATGTTACGTGATATCGTTACCTGGACATTTTGTTTAAAACAAGTTATGGATTTACGAAGCGCGTCTATTAAATAACCGGACTAAAGCTGTATAAAATTAAATAACAATCTTAATGGCAACATTAATTTATTTTATTCAAAATATATCTTTTCAACGTCGAGACAGCATTGGGCACGGTTAACCACTAAGTGGATTGATTTTTGGAAGCCCTCTTTTAGAATCCTTTCAAGCACCCTCGCCGGTATCGCATAAATCGCCGGAATGCTATAGTAATGAATTTCTTTGGAATTGGAATTTTCGAAGCAGATTTTTGGAAACAGAAATAGAATGCCACATCAGGCAAATGTAACATATGGTCAAGCACTACGAGTGTTCCAAACGAGTAATATTCAAATCGTTGTGTAAAATGTTGCAAACCGTGTTTTTAGAGACACATTCGGATTCTTCCGCTAATATTCTCATAGTTTTTGCATCAATTTTTGCAGTAATTTGCACATTTTTTCAAAGAAATCCGATGTCGAAATTGTTTTTAAATGCCTCGATTGCTCGTTATCTTCCACATCTTTGCAACCGTTTCTAAATCTTCCAAACCACTCAAAAAATTATGTACGCAATAGGCAATCATCCTGAAAAATTTCTTTTAACATTTCGTTTGCGTCACGTTTTTCTTTAAGTTTTAGAGAGGACTTGATATGTAGATACTCCTTAGCTCATCATGCTTTTACGGCGACATCAAATTTTTACTGGCTCCTTTATTCGACATATTTTATGACGCGTACGTCCAACAATAATAAAATTTTTACAGTTGATAGACGTGACTCGAAGTTTAGAAACAGTGTTACTTTTTAATAGTTGGTAATCACACAAAATATTTAAAAAAAAAAAATCAATCCGATTATTAATAGGCGCACCCCGTATATTAACCAATATTGTCATTTTCTGAATAACTTTAACTTATGGTTTTACAAATTGTTTGTCGTATCTTATTTTTTATTGTTTACTTTAGATGTCTAATTAAAATTTATTATAAATTTATTAGTGAAATCGCACAGCAAATGCTACTATTTTACAGAATAAGAATACAGGCAGTCCGATGAGCGTTGTTTCGAGAGTGTTTCACAAAAATGTGAGTAAAATATCGATGAAAATATATATATATATATATATATATTTGATCTTACAACTGGGGTCACGTATCGTGTTATATTTGCAGATTGATGACTAATTGGAGGGTCAAGGATAACAAACATGAAATACTTGAAAATTGCGTTATTTACGTTTAATCTATTAATATGGGTAAATAACATGCACTTATACTTTATAACATTATAAACTAAGTCTAGAAATAGCGACACGTACCGACAACTTAGACGCGCTGGTACTTGAACTATAAATATTTCTTCTATGTGTATTCCAGAGCAAAACAATTATCCTTTAAATGTTTGCATCGTTGGATCAACGTCAGATTAGATTATATCTCTAGAGAAAGGCACAAAATATGATTTAAACATTATTTAACTTTATGCGTATTTAGGGAAACACGCGGTTTCTTGCGGTGCAAAATTATCGTCGCGATAAAGGAAGAAATGAAAAATTACCGTGCGATTCTTTTTCTTTTTGGTAGCTGGCTGGCTGCATGGTGCTCGTTATAGGCGCCTGGTTGCTCCTGGAGCCCAGCAAGGGGCACATCCTCAATCTTTTCGTATCTGACGTGAAGCCGCACGAAACTATTAATCTGATAGCTTATAGCCTTCTCGGGCTCGGTTTTATCGTGCTTACGGTCGGCTTCTTCGGCTGTCGCGCCGCGCTACGCGGAAATCAATGCATCCTCGCCACCGTGAGTAAAACGACATTTTTACTGCTCACCTCGTCTTGGCGCGGTTACCGTTATAGATCGTCGGGGGTCAAGGTCGGCGATTTCATCGCCATTCGTTTTTTCGCAGTACATGAGCATGCTGGTTGCGCTCATCGTCACGGAACTGGTGACGGCGGCCATCGGTGGGTTGATGACTTTCCAGATCTTGTCAGATCTGGAGGAAAGGCTCACCAGCAAACTGGCAGTGAATTATGGTCACGATTCGACCAGCGATATCCCCTTCAGCCACAGCTTGGATTTTGCGCAGTATAAGGTGTCGCATTAAGAGGGTTGATCTAATTAAATGCTCATCTCGAGCTTTGTACAACATATTTTCGTGAAGTGGCTCATGTTTTTAGTTACATTTTCCTTTTGCGATATTTTATGATTTTTTTTATTTTGATATGAATCCACTTCTTGTACAATTTTCCGACTTCTGCGGTAAAACTTATTTTCTGTGTATCTTGTGATCAAGATTTCAATTGTGTTCTGGATTTATTCTCGCTAAAAATCGCATGCTGTAATTATCTCTGTGCACGGCATTTGAGCGAAATAATAATACAATTTAACTTTTTTATTAAATATTTTGTTAAAAGATCTTTTCTGTGTCTCGGCTTATTTTTTCTGCAGCACATATTATGCGCGAAATATGTGCTTGTAAATTATGTTTCATGCATGACGGGGTCGCATGCAATGCTTTGTCAGAAATCGTTCGCCCGACGAGACATTTCGCGATGATTCGAAGAGCACATTAGTGGTTCCATTGCAGTTTAATTGCTGTGGAATCCATGGCGACGACGATTACAATGGTACGGCTTGGTGGAGAGACGGTCATTTTTCGGGAAACAGGAGGCAGGTTCCCCTCACATGTTGTGTTCTCAAAAATTCCGAGGTATCTTATGCAATTAAATTTATTGTTTTTAGAAAAACATGTTTTGATCAAATCTTTGAAAGAAAAGATTGGGATAGTTAATAAAATATGTTTTGAAAACACAAATACAAGTTTAAAAATGTTACGTGATATCGTTACCTGGACATTTTGTTTAAAACAAGTTATGGATTTACGAAGCGCGTCTATTAAATAACCGGACTAAAGCTGTATAAAATTAAATAACAATCTTAATGGCAACATTAATTTATTTTATTCAAAATATATCTTTTCAACGTCGAGACAGCATTGGGCACGGTTAACCACTAAGTGGATTGATTTTTGGAAGCCCTCTTTTAGAATCCTTTCAAGCACCCTCGCCGGTATCGCATAAATCGCCGGAATGCTATAGTAATGAATTTCTTTGGAATTGGAATTTTCGAAGCAGATTTTTGGAAACAGAAATAGAATGCCACATCAGGCAAATGTAACATATGGTCAAGCACTACGAGTGTTCCAAACGAGTAATATTCAAATCGTTGTGTAAAATGTTGCAAACCGTGTTTTTAGAGACACATTCGGATTCTTCCGCTAATATTCTCATAGTTTTTGCATCAATTTTTGCAGTAATTTGCACATTTTTTCAAAGAAATCCGATGTCGAAATTGTTTTTAAATGCCTCGATTGCTCGTTATCTTCCACATCTTTGCAACCGTTTCTAAATCTTCCAAACCACTCAAAAAATTATGTACGCAATAGGCAATCATCCTGAAAAATTTCTTTTAACATTTCGTTTGCGTCACGTTTTTCTTTAAGTTTTAGAGAGGACTTGATATGTAGATACTCCTTAGCTCATCATGCTTTTACGGCGACATCAAATTTTTACTGGCTCCTTTATTCGACATATTTTATGACGCGTACGTCCAACAATAATAAAATTTTTACAGTTGATAGACGTGACTCGAAGTTTAGAAACAGTGTTACTTTTTAATAGTTGGTAATCACACAAAATATTTAAAAAAAAAAAATCAATCCGATTATTAATAGGCGCACCCCGTATATTAACCAATATTGTCATTTTCTGAATAACTTTAACTTATGGTTTTACAAATTGTTTGTCGTATCTTATTTTTTATTGTTTACTTTAGATGTCTAATTAAAATTTATTATAAATTTATTAGTGAAATCGCACAGCAAATGCTACTATTTTACAGAATAAGAATACAGGCAGTCCGATGAGCGTTGTTTCGAGAGTGTTTCACAAAAATGTGAGTAAAATATCGATGAAAAAGTGAATGCATGCACTTAAGGTGAGTAATCTTTTGTTGCTGGTAGAATGAAAAACCATGGCTGCATCCGCAGCCGAGGGATGAGGCCGCGTGTCAAGTAGAAAGCAAAGAGGGTCATGAGGGATACAGACACAAAGAGGTACACATTTTATATCATATCATAAAAATATCATTGATGCATATCACATGGTTATGTATTTTGATCGACACGATGCATTTTTAGGGCTGCCTTGGAAAAGTCACGAACTGGCTGCAGTGCGAAAGTTTCACGTTGGTATTCCTCGGCATGGCAATGGCAGGAATACAGGTAAATCTTTTTAATAAATCATCTCGCCGGCGCAAAGTTTTAAAGAAAATTTATTCAGAAGAAAATATTTTATGTAAGAAAGCGGTTTTTGAGATTTTCGGATTTTATAAAGTGGTTTTATAAAAGTTATATAATAGATATATACTAGATCTGTTGAATTATTTTTCTTAGATAGTTTTCTTCTTTTTGTTTTGAATACTTAATGAGACAGAAATAATCACGTAAATGTATTTCAGACATTCGGAATAATAACGTCCGCTTTCCTCTGTCGAACGATAAGGGATATGCAGGATGAATGATCCATGATTCGTAGTCTCAATGAAGTAAAAAGAATGTCATGGCACATTCGTTCTTGTCATTGAGAAAGAGGAAACATCTTTGTTTTGTATCTTCGTGTACTATCATCTCTGCAAACATTCTCAAAATCTGTTTTGAGTCTTGTGAGTTAAGGACAATGATGTGAGTCGCAAAACTGCGACTTGGGAATTCTGCGGACAGAAAGCAAGTCTTGTTCTGTTTTACGCAAACCGACCGATCAACTTCGAAGCGAGATAACGACAAATGCGTATGCTTAATTTTTAGATCATTTCCTGGCGCGCGCGTTTTGCTGCAAGTCAGTAATAAAGTGACCGATACACTCTGATGTATATATACAATATATACGCATCTTTGTTGTGTTCACTCCAAATAACAAGCCGCGATATTACAATGATATCTCGCTTAGATTTTATGACGATTGCCGGCGAAGATCGATCAACAAGGCGAATTGTTATTCGCGATATTTTGTCGTCTTGTAAATACACTTGCCAGTGCAGATAATAAAAGTATGTGCGTTGTGTACGTGAGAATTTTCGAGTCCTTTTTCCTTTCTGAAAAATTTACCTGATTCAAGATACAAAATAATTTTTCGCACAAAGTTGTACATGCATTTTTAGAAAAAATGAGTTTTGACTAATGAGATTTGCGTGCGTGGATGTATGTAGAAGGGCTGGAACTGATTGTGATCTTCTCACTATTGACAGATTTTATAAGCGCAACGCCTTAAAGTTTCACATATTGAGAAATATATATGAAAATCATATAACGCTGCTTGCGCGTTTTAATTGCATAAATTTTCAAAGTATTTTATTTGTGTAAACTAAATTTTAAAAAATATATTGATTTGAGAAAAGATAAATAAGATTTCTTTTTCTTAATATACGCTAACATATTTTAGGTAACAAATTGTTAAATTTGTTTACTTATATATTTATAATTATCTTAATAGTCAATATTTGTAATGATACCAAAATCTCCTTCTGTGATCTGAAAGCTTGAAGTGATAAAAGTGTCAATCAGCTCCAACAACTTCTAATAATAGTGTATATTAGATTAGAATAGATATATATTTTATCATCTATTTTAGAAAATGGATGGTGCATACATATATTATATATATATATATATCTATAGAAAGAATGTGTCATATATATTCTTTAACTAAAAGGAACGCTTCCTTCTTCGACACTAATTTTGGAAGAATGTATTATAATAACTTGTGCCAAAAGAATTTTTATTGTATAATGAGTGACACAAATTTTAATATATTTTTATTTTCTTAAAACATCCAGCAAGATATGTCCTACGTATTTATAGAACGCACCTTAATGATAATAAAAATGTTGTTCTCTGTGTAAACTCGTTATTGATTTTATATATTTTCACAAAATATACCAATTTATATCCGTATTTTATAAAAATTTTTAACGTTTGAATGTTATATTTACATTACTCACAAGATAAGCAACTCGCACATTGTATGTAATGAGCTTATTTTGATAATTTTACGCATCCTACGCATCTGTGTAAATAGAATATTATCAACGTATCGAATTTCCCGTTAATTGCATACATATTTATTGAAATTAATGCGCAAGTAAAGAAATGAGATTTTCGTATGTGCTTGACCACGTGAATATTTTGATAAAATAAATATGGGTTAAAAAATTACGATTAACTTTCTTCGTAAAAGTAAACCTCACGATCGTTTAGTGATTGAACTGGTCGACAATTTAGAAGTAACTGTCCATCCATTGAACATAGTTTTCGAAATTGTTCCACCTATAACAAAAGATTATACATAGTAATGACAACATAAAGCCGACGACAAATATCTTATTACTAAACAGATTACTTTACCTGTGATACAGATATGGCAATTGGTTCTTGCTGAATGATCCATGTAACTATTTCACTGCAAGGAGGATAGCTAAGAGACCCAGTGTATGTATAGTAATCTCTGTCAAAAGGTAAAACAAGCCATTCCAATGGGAAAGGAGGTATGCCGACTTCAGTTCCCGGATAGGTAATGCGCCGCAAATTTCTCACAATGTGATCCAGATAAGGATTATCCGCATAATTTATCTGTGATACGTTATAATCAGGCGTAATTACAATAAATTCAGTTTAACATAATATATTTATATTTAATGTAATATATTTTATTAAACATTTAAAGAGAGAGAAAGAGAGAGAGAGAGAGAGAGCGAGAGAGAGAATGGATCGATTTAATCTTTCAACAGAAAACATTGGTGATGAGATATACTCATTTTATATATTTCCAGCAAAAAATCATACTTGAAGAAAGAACGAAACAATCGCTACTCCGTCTTTCACTCCGAGGCTGATTGCTTCCAACAGCGATTTAATTCCACGTTTTCTATGGACAATTTGTAGTTCCATAGGAAAACGAACATAGTCCAAAGTATGTTCACTGCCCTCTTCGTTGGACGGACCCCAATGGAAGCGAACATGAGAGAAATCATACGTATCGGTCAAAGGTCCCCCTTGAAGCTGTGGCCGTGTAGTACTGGTCCAGGATCCTCGGAATATCACTGTGTACATATATTAGTGCAAAACGCATAATACGAAAGATATTACAAATATCTCTATAAAAATATCAAGAATTTATCAATTTATTTTAATTTATTTACTTAATTATAGAAAGTTTAATTAAATCTACCAGTATGACCGTCGTTCATGATAGTCATCGATTTTGGTACGCTATTATAATTGATCCATCGAAGTGGTTCAGATGGTTGCACTACTACAGTGAGCCTGGTGATAATATTGATAGGCGATTGATTGCTACCGGTGCTTCCGGGATATAGATCCTTCCAAGTATGGGGACCATTCTGATGAGCGTATCCAAATGAAAAAGTAGGTAGCTGGAGATCATTCTTTATATATAAGAAAACTTGTGTCAAGTTCCACATATCACTTAATAATAACACTAGAATAAATGAAATTATATTATATAACACACACATTGTAAACCATGTATGTAAATATATAAATATATAAATATATAAATATATAATCTAATGATTTAGTTGTCAATCTTCGTGTGTACGCATATGCGTATTTTTTTGCGATGCTTACATATGAGAAGAGTGCCGCTACACACAATCATACATTCTATTAACGAAAAGTCCATCATTTTTGAAATGATGTAACTTTTGGGAAGATACATTTGGGTTATAAAATTTCAGACTTGTCTTTGTACGCGAAATTTCCGGCGTAATAAATTTTTATGCATGCATAGACGTGCGATCTATTTGAGATTTTGCTCAGCACTTCATAATACGTAATAATTTTTATTAAAGCCACTCATAAAAATATATAATATGATATGAAACATCAAATGACAATTTATGAGAATCGATAAAGCGTACTTCAATTCACAAAAATGATGTGAAGGTAATTCTTTATTTTTTTTTCAATAAAAAAAATTAAGTAAGTTAAAACAATGCACCTACTAATGCGTTAGCAACTTCTTATCGTACCACAAGTTGGCAACCACTTACAACCTGTTCATAAAAATGACATCATGACAGATGTCAGATAATTGTAATACCTATATTTAAAATAACATGTCTTATAATTGAAAATAATGGACACTTAATTTCACATTATTTCCTGTTTGTCAAAGTTCGATATTATAGTCGTGATACAAATATGACATCTAAATCCAAAGGTATACGATTACGTAAATAAATCTTCAACTCAATCTCGCTCAAAAAATTTGTTACAGATACTTTTTCTATATATTTATTTAAAAATATTGTATATAAATACAAATATATATATATATATATATATATTTATAATTTTCTTCTTGCAAATATATTTCTGTATATTGAATATATTTTTTAACTTTTATTTTTAAAACCCCTTATTTTAATTGCGCTCTACAAGAAAAATTGTACACAACATCATCTTCGGGTTTACCAAATTGGCGACAATCTCCGATCGATATCAGTCGCGTATGGACCAAAAAATTTCCACCATTGCTTTTGACCAATTATTGCTCGAACATTGGCACAGCGATACTTACTAACACCGGCCAAACAGGTTTTTATATTTAGCACAAAATTAAGAATTACTGTAAAATATATTTAATCTAGTTTAATATATATAATTTAATAATTTTTAGTTAATCTCGAGCTGGCGAACAGAAAAATGCCGATAATACGCGGCGGCCCTTTAAAAGATGATGAATTTCAATTCATGAACATTCAGTTTCGCTGGGGTCCGTCTAATTGTCGAGGCGCGGAACATTCTATCGATAATATTTGGTTAGAGAGAGAGAGAGAGAGAGATAATGTATCACAAAAATTACATTTTTTATTTAAACTCATATTTATGTTTTATTATGTTCTAAATAATTTAAATAAATTTATAATATTTATATGAACTCTATATGAATTTATTTCTGTTCAATTAATATTGGTTAATATACAATTTCTAAATGACATGTGTTTAATAAGGTATTCAATGGAAGCGCAAGTTATGCATTGGAACACACGTTACGGATTGATAGAAAAATGCTACAATAAACCTGATGGGATTGCAATACTCTCTTATCTCATGCAGGTATGATAATAAGCAAAAATAAATAATATCAAGTAAATATCAATATTTTTGAGGTAAATCCTTGAGATCGCTCGATAATAGCTTCTTCAGTAGATTACCGTGCTGCATTTATAAAATATAAATTATATATTATTATAAAAAAGATATATATTTGTAGGTCGTTGGCTGTTCTGGACTTCCGGACAATCCAGCACTTGCTCCAATCACTGATAAACTCGCGGAAATAAAACAAACGGATAGTACCGTGAATATTACGCCTGGTAATTCTACAATGTGAGACGATCTTTAATCAATATATCAATTTGATCACTCGTAGACTAAATCGCGTAATAGAAAGGAGATTTTATGTTCTCACGTTTCATTATATATATTTTCAGTCACCAGTCAAAATTTTGGCAAATTTGCATTTTTTTCATATATTTTTGATAACATGTATTTTTTACTTTTCATGAATGAAAGTTTTGAGCGATTGTAATGCTAACACTTTTTAATTAACTATCCAATTATATGTTACAGATTGCTTACGTTGGATGATGCACGCATGCACATCGTCCGGATATTACACTTATTCAGGTTCTCTCACTTATCCTCCGTATAATGAGTGTGTTACGTGGATAATTATGCCGAACCCGATAAGAATATCTTCCTATCAAGTATACAACGCATATCAAACTTTGGAAAATATATATACTGTAGCTATATATAAATGCGCTATTAAATTACGTTACAATTTATTTATCAACAGGTAGAAGCGTTTAGAAATCTTTATAATTATAAACGGGAACGTATAGTAAGAAATTATAGATCACAACATCTTCTTCGTGGAAGAAGGATTTTCTTTGCCACAGATGTATGATATCCATGCAATAGTTTAATTTATTAAAAACATATTGCCAAAGCAATTATTACATTATATATACATAAAAAGATTTTTTTATATATGTTTATTTGGCTATAAAATACAAATAAAAATATGGGTACAAAAATAATGCAACCGTTATATGTATATATAAAATATTTTTCTTTTTGCTAAGATTTCGAGATTCTATAACTGACTAAAACACTATAAACGTGCGCCATTTATTTTCTGCGTGTGTAGGTAATTACTTATACATATTAATCTAGTTCTCCGTTTTTTAAAATTTATTTTAAATTAAATTATATCAATTAAATTAAAATTACATACACATTTAATATTTAAATTGCGATTGTCAAATGCATCGCTCAGCCATGACAGACTTTTATTGATATGAAGTAATGCAGCGTCAAGATAACCAATCATCATCGCAGCATAATTGTATAAATTAGCTAATTTCAAAGATGTTAAATTATGAAATGTAACATAATGACATAATTTTAAAACCCAACTGTATTCTATATATAAAAAATTTGTAGTCATATATTGCGCTAAATGATTCTTAATTAATACAAAAATGGCGAGTTATACAACAACTACAGGTAAGTGAAGAAATATAGAAAATAATGATGACAAGAGGTCAGGGTTATGCGGACTGTACTTCATAATTTTTAAATTATACGTTTTATATTAATATCTGTTTTTAAGATGTACAAAAAAGTGGTCAAGCACCGATTGATTTAATTGACGAAATTGTACGACCTAAGAGATTTCCACCGTTAATATTAAATGGCCACTGGTTAAAAGATGGGAATGCAACCTTATTTAATGACGGCTCAACAGGTTACTTAATTTGTTTTACGTGTATATAATGTTATTGTGGTTTGCTTGTGAAACGCAATTGAATATCAAATTCCTTTCTTATCAGTGAAGATTTTTTTGAATGGTGATAGGATCCCATCGACGGTGTTTGGTGGTCCGCTCGTAAACGACGAATACGAGTTTTATAACGCACACTTTCACTGGGGAGAGGACGATTGTAGGGGCGCTGAGCACACGATCAATGGTACTTGGTAAGAACGTAATATCAACCGTGATTAATAATCGCATGTAAAAATTGGTGAAAATCTTACATTTAAATAAATGTAGGTTTTCCATGGAAAGCCACATAGTGCATTGGAACCGAAAATATCTCACTTTTGAAGAATGTTTAAGACACCGAGATGGTCTTTGCGTGTTGGCCTATTTATTTTTGGTATAATTATTAATACATAACTATATCTTTTATGTTTCATACATTATTAATGAATTCGTCTTACAGGTCCAACCGGGATCTTGTCAATGGAATAACGTCAGGTTTGATAAAATCTCCGAAAATTTGCAATATGTTCAGAATGCTGGCTCAGAAATAAAAATTCCATCAAGTTAATATTCGAAGAATAGAAAGCTTTATCGTGTATGGTATTATTATTATGTTATTTTAAACCTGATGATACTTTCGTAATTTTTAGATTCTTTATCTTGGATGAGAATAGCAACAAATTGTCCAAATTATTATACTTACTTGGGATCCTACAATACAGGTGCTAATTGGAAATGCGCTACGTGGATCGTATTTCCAGTCATTATTCCTATACAATCATGCCAAGCAAGTTATGCAAAATATAAGGCCATAAATATTTATCTAAGTTTTGTAAAATAATTATGGTTATCGTTATTAATTTTGAACTAATATTCAATATTTGTAGAATACACTAAAAGTTTTTTTTTTAAATATAACAATAGACATACATATATAAAAATATAACAATAAATTTTACAGCTTAATGAATTTCGAAAACTGCGGGATAAGAAAGATAAATTTATAAAATCGAATTGGAGGGATGTTCAACTTTTACGAGGACGACAAATATTTCTGGCTATCTCTTAATAAAAATTTAGATCTTGCCTTAAATTTAATAAATTACTTCAAGTTTTTATAGTTTTTATATCTTTATATATAACATTTTATAATATATTTATAACTTTATATAACAAACTAGTTGAAAAACCTTTAAATTTTCATATAGCTTATGTAAAATGCAGTGATCTATTAAATCATTATAAACAACATTAAACATTTAATACGTTTTATATTTATAAAATTTATTAATTTATATTATCTGTATCGCTGTGAAAATTAGTATACTCATCTGCATTATATTTTATGCTTCTTCAACTTATTAAGCCTATTAAAAGAATCGATACTGGCGCAAACTCGTTCTATTGTCTCTTCCAGAGCTTTATATATACGAATGAAAAAAACTTCTCTGTAAAGCTGTAGATTTAATAAATAGTAATTCTTTTCCTTTCCTTCCTGCATTAACGTCTGTGTTTGATCGATTGAGTTTTCTCTATATATTTCTTGGAAGCTTTTATTGGATCTTTGCAATAAAAGCGTTGATTCTTGTTGATCTATTTTTGTTGCAGAATCTTTTCGTATCAAACTGTTTTTCTTCACGAGTTCACTTTCATCTTCAAAACAATTCGCGAAAGCACATAAAATATTATACACAGTGTCATATTTATTTTTACGAGCGAAGTCAAATTCAGTCAAATTGGGTCTGAGACTTTGTTTGCAAAGGTCATTGAACCGGGTCAGCATGTCGCGTTTGTAATTCGCATCCTCTATTTGTAAAAGGATATCTCGCAGAGTGTCGAGCGATAAGTTCCAGGGTGATAAATTTTCATCGGTAACGTCGCAATACATTTTCTGCAATTGCATCACGATACTCGGATGATAGTAATAATAGGGATTTAGAGAGGTGAATAGGTCGCCTTGCGAGAGTAACGGCTTATATGCCGGCTCCGGTGATTTGCTAGTCTCCACGTTGGTCATGATTTCCTCAACGATCGAGCGTATCGTCGAGTCGCGAATACGACGATCCAAATGTTCGTCGATCGCTCGATGATCGGTCATTTCTGAGCTCCGACTATCGATTGTACAGCCCCACAAGCGAAATACGAACGTCGAGGGACTCAATCTCGGTTCTGTGATGAATCGCCAGGACTCAGTGAAGATTGCTCGAGTTCTAGATCGATACCATATCTTGATCTTCACGATTTGTCCTGGAAGTACGAGACCTTTCGTCTTGTTGAAGAAGAATGGACTTCCGCGTCTCTCGACGGATACGTTGCTTGACCGTAAAGTTGGCCAATCTCGCCAATAATACACGATAACACGGTGTCCTTTGTTCTCGAGGATGATCTCCTTTTCAACGAGCTCATCAACCTCACTCGTAAAAGTTAGAGACCACGTGATGGGATCGGTGTCCTCCGGCTCGAAGAGACATCTTTGCCAAATAAATTCTCGATCTTGGATCTTCAGGATTACCGCCTGATCTTCGCATGACTCTTCCTCATCATCGGGTTCCGTGATGGTTATCGGCGGAATTCGTAGCAGCGGTTTCTTTCTTTGAAAGGCGCGTCCTTGAACGACCAACTGTGCTGTTTCCGGTTCCTTCGGCAACAGCAATGCGATTTCTTCAGCCAGTTCGACTTTACGCGTCTTTAGATACTCGCTACGTTTCCAGGATTCCTCTTTGGTTTTCAACGCGACAAGATCCCGTTCCTTCGCTATCAAGTCCGGTAATTCAACGTGCATTAAGTCCGGAGGAAGATTCAAGTCTTTCCTAGTTGGAGTTAAAGCTATTTTAGGCAAGTGGCAAGCGTGATCTGGCAGGAATTCGGGCGTTCGCCAAAATTCCGGTCCACCGCGATATTTATCGCCGATTACGGGTACCGGTATGGCCGCGTGCTCCATCAAATTTTTCATCTCCACGAATGCGCGAAATCTCTCCGAGGAACTTTGCAGCTGATCGGCTTGCGAGCGACCGGTAATAGCCTCGATGCGTCGATTCTGCTTCTTTCGATCGGCGAGCCACTTTCGCCAATTTACAAAACGATGATCTTCTGAAAATACTGTATCCCCGGAGAGGAGGTTATCCCTGGTCGTTACAAGTGGCTGACGAGTTTTCTTCCAGGTTTGACGCTTGTCAGATTTACCGATTGTCCGCGCAAAGTCCATTTTTAAGAGCACGAGATATTTTATATATGATGTTAAGTATCTTCTTCCCTTTAATGCGTGTGTGAGAACCTGAACGAAATCTTATTTTTGGTACACATTATTCTCGACTACAAAACATTGCGTTGTTTTTCTTTTTTCTGTATAAAAATATATTCTTATTTCGTTTTAAGAATATATAAAAAATAATTCATTATTAATGATGTTTGATATTGATGATATTTGAATTGAAGTATGAGCAAAGTCGCGCGTGCGATCAATTTAAGGCTCTAGACTGCATAAAGAGTTATCAATTAATAATATATACGGCAATATAATATATTGGCATGAGTTCTTCAACAGGTGTGACATGTATAAATTGAAATGGCATTTCTTTTATACGATGAAAATATTTTTATTATTAAATATCTTTTTCTGCAATTTTTTAGATACTGATGAGCATAGTAACGAAACGGTTAGATTCATACAACAATTAGCTAAAACTGATGGCAAATTGGAATCACCAATTAATTTGAATATCAGTTATATGAAAGTCGTGAAATTGAATCCTGTACAATGGCTCAATTACAATGTCATGCCAAAGAAAATGAAACTCACGAACAGCGGCTACACTGGTTAGGTTAAAAGTCGGATTTGTATATGCATAAAATTATTTCTAAAAAAATAATTAATTATGTTTATTGCTAATAGTGATTCTTAGTGCAACATGGCATGCAGAAGAGCCGTATTTGTGTGATGGCCCATTCGTCGGTAATTATATTTTTTCGCAGCTCCATTTCCATTGGGGTAAAACCGATATGAACGGTAGCGAACATTATGTCGACGGTGGAAGGTTTTACTTTTACTGTTATTTCATAGATTACTCGTTTATTTGCTTTATTTAAATGCATTTATCAATGCAGCATGCCAATGGAATTGCACGCGGTGCATTATAAAAGTGATTACGAGACTCAAGTAGCAGCTCTTCGTCAAAATGGTGGAATTACTATTCTAGTATATTTATTTCAGGTATTAAAAAAAAGATTTTTATTTGTGAAAAAATTATTATTCAATTATATATAATGCCTCTACATTAACCTATTTTCTGTGCGTATCTTTTTTTATTTCTTTTGTTCTTAATATATTTTAAAACGTGCTACTTCAGAATTGGAACACAAACATGTCTGTTCAAATATTTAAAAAATGATATGTATATATTTTTTGGAAGGCAAAGGAATAATATTATATATACAGCTTCAGGTATCTCCTAATCCACTTTTGGATGATATCGTGAAAGCATTACCCTTTATCCAGACGGCTCACTCTTCCGTTCGTTTAGTGCCTTTTCCCATAACAAATATTATGCGATGCTTTCAACATGATTACTTCGTGTATTGGGGCTCTATAACAATGACAAATATCAAAAATAGCATACTTTGGCTAATAAACAGAGAACCATTAGGAATATCCATCGAGCAAGTAAGTTGCACCAGAATTGACAATTAATGATTAAATAAAATAAAATCGCCATATAATTATTGCTAATAGTTCATCTTATAATAAAATCGATTTTTTTTCGAGATCGCGGAGTTTCGCACACTATACGACGAACATAGAATGCCAATTTTGACAAATTGTCACCCATTGAAAGATAGAGGTGATAGAAACGTTTTCCATGTATGTCCTAGTGGATCCATGTATGCAACACTTCGACGCATTCCACATAATTCTAGTGATTCATCTATTGTTCAAGACGACATCGATGATAAACAATGATGAAATACTATATTATATAATTATAATATATATAGATATATATAGATATATTATTATAAGAGAGACACACATAGATTTCTCTTATAAATTCGTTATTACAATTATTTATAAATATAGAGTGCAAGATCCCTCATAACATGCTTTTGTTTAATTTATTTTACTTTTAGTCTTGTAAAGTTTTGCAAAGTATTCTTTAGTTTTATTTCCTTCTCTTGCGACGTCTTTTAATCCTTTCTTTCTCGAGATCACATCCTGAGTAGAAAGAGGCACAGTCAATTCCGCCCAAGCCCAGAATGGATGCTTTCACAGAATCCAACATTGCCGACCATGGAGTTCTGTGCAGCACTCTGCCCGATACCCAGCTCATGCCCAAGCTGGAAAGAAGAATCTCAACATTACCGATTTCGAGAAACAACTTCAAACACTTCGCCGACCATTGATATTGCGTTGATCAATTTACGAGTTTCGACGGTAAATTTTCTAAATCAAATTTTGTTCCTACACACTTTATTACCTCCAAACGGGAACCCAAATTCTACGTCCGTCGTTGATTTCCTTGGAATATTGATTCTCTTCGCACAATATCCTACGCAGACAATTACCAGAGTCTTCTTCGGCGATCATAACTGCTTCGATGGATCTTAGAATGCGATAAGACAGATCATTCAAGTCTTCGTTATTAACGGAAGATAAGGAAAGAGGAAGTGCGTTTCTCTTGAAACGTTGCCTAGTCATCATCGTCATCATGCCATTATTGTTCTATAATGTAAGAAACATTTTTTTTCGTCAAAATGTATCATCAAAAAATTATGTGTACATCTCTTCTGTATCAAATATTTTCATTGGAACAAAAACATACTTTTAAAATAATTAACAAATATTTTTAAACAAGATAGTTTTAGTACCGCAGCATTCATACACAGCTGAATGATAAACAGGCCGAATGCTAAGAATGCAAGCGCGGTGAGCGCGATTTCGAAGAAATCCTTGATCGAAAGCTCCTTTCCCTTAGAATAGGACTTATGATCATCTTCTTCGTGCTGCTCATGCGGTCCGTAATAATATTCCTCGTGGATAGATGGGAAGAAATGTTCGCTATGGTGTCCAAAGTCGCTATGATGGTGACCGAATGAGGGTCCATAATGAAAAGAATGTTCCGACGATGAAGACGACCTGTCACCTATTCATGAAATATATAAATATCAAATCGTTCGTATATCGCGTAACACATTTGTGAAATAACTTCTGAAATCTACCTTCATGAGGTGGTCTGTAGAAACCCACTTTTCCAGATGGCAGAGGTGCTTGCATCGCGTACCCCGTCACCTCACCATCGAACTCATCAATGTCATCTTCCCGGACATCCTGTTTCTTTTTTATTTTTTTGTGGGGTGCATAATGTCGATAGACATCATCTAGCGTTGTCGTTCTATTATAAATAAGTCAAATTTAGATATTTTTTTCTTTTTATATTACGTACTGTATTAGTACTAGTATTTTGTAGAATATAACAAAAGATTAATGTAAATGAATATAGTTTTTCACAGCCAAGATGCATTAATAATGCATTATATAGTTAATATATTTTTAAAGTATTTTAAATTAAATTATAATATATATATGTAAGTTTTTAATTCGAGAGTTTAATAAAAATTTAATTTTTTTATATTAGAAAGTTTAAAATTTGTTAAAAAGAAATGAATCATAATTTCGTGAAAAGTAATGAGATATAATATTTTTTGAGTCTAAAATATATTTAGTAAGTTTACCGTGTGTTATGTAAAATTATTCAAAACTATAAATATGATTAATGACTAAATATGTGGTTGAGATTATAAAGAATTTAAAAATTCCTTAGTGTGCTTACTTTTGAAGCCAATTTTTATACTTCGAGCTTCCTTCATCCGCCAAAAGTTTATCGTGAATCGTAACATTGTCTAAAAAATTATGTAAGTTCTCAGGTGGCAGAGATTGGGGACGTCGTTTCACTCTAGGAGTGCTCACTTCCTTCAAGATTTCTTCCGCCATATAACCGTGACAAAGATACTCATTCATTCTCGCCCTAATTTTATATATATCAATTAATTAAAAATAGTTAATTAAACACTTTTCAGTTTTATTAACTTTTTGAGTTATTTAATTCTTACCTATGATAGCCCATTTGGTTTAATGCTCTATCGAAAGATCCGTCCACAGTTTCATTTGCCACTGTCTTGGAAACATTATTTTGATATTGATCACTAAATAGAAACGATCCAGGTAAAAGATCCACGGAAAGTATATCATCTTGATTGATACAGAATTCGTTGCCGTCGTCGAAGCATTCCTGAAAAGAAACAGATTACGAAAAAATATATAATCGTGTAAATTCGTAACAAACGTTTTTCACGGCATTCTGACAAAATTTTCAGTGGCATTTTTGCTGTGCCACGAGAGTTGCTGTTGAAACACGAAGACAACTGTGACTGACGAGAAGACGACACGCTCGTGTAATAATTCTCTCGTCTGCTAGGAATAATTGCTTTAACCGTAACGTTGCTTAGACTTGCTATTAGTTTTATTTACAGTTTTAAGCATATGAAAAAAATATTGTGCGCATATAAGTCTAATTAAAATAATTTTCCAGATTTTTAATATTCAAATAATTAACGAATGATATTTAATAAATTGATTAATCAAAAATATAAAGATACGTAAAAAAGATCTAACTTACCGGTATCAAACTCGAAAGAAAAAAACACCCGCATACCTGCTAAAAGCGGGGGTTGTTCCAACATCTGTTTAGATTCATGACTAATCCCCCCGATTAGTGATAGCGCCCACCGATTTACGCGTAATCCGACACTCATGATTAAATACGTTTATTAAAAACCACTTACAACGCTCTTATGAATGTTTCAAGAGCGAAGGGTCTGGCGGAACGTCCGCCTGGGTCGAGGTGGTAAGACAGGGTAATGGGGCCTTTGTTCCCCTGGGAACGCGCTCACCTGTCTAATATCTCGCGGGAGTGGCTATATCTGTACACACACCAAAAGCGGCCAGTTATACGCCGAGCTTACTGAAAATTAATCGCGCAGTTTCGAAAGAATCTTTGCGTCTCGTCCTACCGACTGAAATAAACGTTTCTCACGCGATTATTAATGATATCGTGGTCGCAAAATCAGGTAAAAGTACATACAAAAATTATTTATTTATAATTTACTGAAATAAGAAGTATGATTATAGAAAAACTAAAATATATTAAAAAAAAAAAATTATTTATTTTATAAATCTTATAATTAATAATATTCGTGGAAAAAAAAACAAGAAAGAAAACTGATAAATAAATTTGATCTTAAAAATGTGTTTAAAATTCTTTTCATGCTTCAAGTTTGATATTTGTGATACGCACACTTTAGAAACGTTCCTGTGAAATATTATTTTCAGTATGACGCAGACGAAGATGCGGTTTTAACCGCCCGCAGTCGAGGTGTGATCGCGCACTTCCCCTTTTGCGTGAACGCGACCTGTGGCGCAGTTTGTGCACGCGTGAATTCACCCTCCTTTTCTCAGGTGCTTGATTGATCGTTTCAATTATCCGGCGCAGCGTGCATCAAACGTGAGAGTAAACTTCGCAGCGAGCAAATGGATCGTTTATTCGAAACATTTACGAATGGTAGCTACCATGAAAACATTACGAATGGTGAATCGTGTATAACGCGAATCGCAAATATAATCGCGTGTTATTTCTACGCTAATGTATCAAACAAATCGAGAGCAGCCAATCAAAAATCACATATTAATTAAAAGCAATTTCCCTTTCTTACAATTTTATTTCTTGAGAATTCAAATTTACGATTTAGATCATTTTCAGGAAGAGACACATAGCTATTGTAGAAAATGTAGGAGTAATGTTTAAGCGTTCACGCTAGCTTCCAGGAAGTAAGGTCCTCGGTCGTAAATTAATGTGCGCGTTGACCATATCGTTACTTCCTCTCTTCGCACCTAACAACGCGCCTTAAGCGCATTTCACTGTATTTAAGATTCAATATTTGTCACGGTCGCAAGTACGTGTAAAATGTTTAACCCCGCGTATAATCAGCACGCAAAAATGCATGTGCGACACGAGACGAGCAAGCGTAAATTTGCGTCTAAATGTGTAAAAATAACAAGCTCGCGAGCCACGCCGAGAGTTAGAACATCGATTTGACAATTTAATCGATTTAAAAAATTTAAAAAAATTATGCATGTTTTGTCTACATACAGACATATACTACGTACAGATTTTTATCTAAATTTATATAGAACGTTTGCGTAATTTTAAAGTGCATATTGTTTCTGTTTTTTAATTAGTTTAATTTTTTTTCTGCGTGTAAAATAGAAATATATAATGCTTTTAGATAATGGCACACTTTCAACCATTACAAATTGTTAAATTATTATATTATTGTGTATTTTACATTTGTTTATGTGTGTAAAATTTCTAAAATTATTTTCTTCAATATAATAGTTATGTTACCCAAGTCTATGCGAAAAGGTTAATAATGACTGCGTTTCCAGAATACGACAATGCATGCTGAAGTGTCTAATGTATACAAAAAGGTATATATTTGATATATGTTCTTCCACAAAGACGAAATAACTCAGACGTGGATCGGGGTGAGGATCGATGACGAGGAACCGAGTTATAGAAAGGGCTCACAATCGCCATTGGTCCTTTTAGCCGCAGAAGCGAGTGGATTTACGGTGTGCGAGGATGAACATTGAGATTGGCACGGGTAGTCCGGAGACTAATGGACGCAGCATTCGAGAAAATGGCCGCCATACCGTGATCGTAAACAGAAATAACACGATATGGTTCGATAAGAGCTATCATCGACACGGAAAGGTGAAAGTCTCCAATCATTGCAAAATGACGTTTTTATTTTTATTTTATTACATTTCTCAAAAATATTGAATATCTGTCTCTTATCGAAAAAATTTGTCCTTTTTTACAAATTAAATTGTAAATCTTTCGAATAAATATTGTGTTAAATCGATTTGAATTTTCGCGCAAACGTAATTTGTAACCATTAACGTATTGCCACTGATATGAATTGCAACATTATGTCAACGAAATAAAATCTGATGTCTAGATATAATGAAACGCGTATTTTCTGTAGTATAGTGAGAACCACTGCGCGTAGTTCGCTAAACGCGTGAAGAAGTGTTTTGCGGTACTTTTTCATGATGTTCTTCGCGTGGCAGAAGCGTTTATCCATTGCTAAAGCGTGAACGGGAAAGAGAGAACAGAACGACCATCGTTTTACTGGTATAAAGCTTCGAGATAGAGGGGTCAAAGAAGGCGGCCACTGCGCGAGCAGCATGCGCGTTTAGGACCAATCCGAGATTCACCCTTTGAACCCCTTTGAGCCCTTTCTCGCTTGAGAAACTCGCTAGTGCGCAAGCCAAATCGTCGAACTCGAGCACTTTTTTAGAAAGAACCATAAAACACGTGAATATCTCGATAAAATGGGAATATAAGAAACATACCTATGAATTTGCAAAGTTGTACTGTATTGATGGTACTGATAGCAAACACGATATCTCGATAAAAATAGCAATATAATATGTACAATAAATTATGTCAAAATAAATGATAAAGTTTACATGAAGTTGTATAAATAAAATACATAATTATATAAAAAAATTTTCTAATAAAATCAATAAGCGTTACCGATACCCTTAATAACGATCATCAATAGATGCGATAATACAAATTAAAATGTGAAATTTTAAATATTTTACACATATTTTTATATACTTGTATTTGTATTTAATGCTTGATATATTTATGTACATCATACGACAATGATAACATTATATGCTAAATTCTATTGCCAAATTTTGTGAATCATGTATTTAACCGCCGATGAAAAGATAGACATACTATTATAAATATTACGATGAAATTTGACAGCTATAATAAAGGTTCTAAAATAGGAAATCAACCATAAACTGCCGAGATTCTGCGATCCCTACTCCGAGATACAGTAAGTGGGGAGATCCCGATGTGCGAGATATTCTTCCAGCCTCACGGGATGACCTTCCTGTAGGAAACTGGAGGGGATGCTGGGAGGTTCTTCTCTGGACCACAGACACGTGCCACTTGTCATACTTTCGGAAGTACTTGCTTTCGGACGGTTCGGAGGGAGATTAGTACGAGATCAGGTGTGATTGATCGGAAGGATAACGCGTGCTAAATTGTCAGCGGTTAATTAATAATAGATATTAGATAGAACGCAAATAGATATTTTTTGTTATCAAAAATACAAAATAAATATATATTTTACTGATTAAAAAATATAAAATTGTTTCTGCTAATCTTACCGTGCGGCATCGAATAAAGATAAACATGGCAGGTGCAAAGCAATCGAGTCTCAAATCTGTGTCAATAAATAATTCATGAAAATAATTGTGGAATATTTAAAAAAAGAAAAAAAAAAAACGTGAAAAAAGCATTGTTTCAATAACCCGATATCAAATGTGAAGTGGGCAAATTTGGATTAGAATTACTGGAAGATATTAACGAGTAACATCAAGCTCATCGAACTTGGTCGAAATTGTAGCCGAGATCGATGATTTATCACAGAATGGAACTCTGTCAGAACCGCGAGAAAATGAACAATGACGTTTATGATCTTCGTCGGACGCGCTCGCTTTCGAATGAGAATGAAGCCTATTCAAATGGTAATGAGCAAGGCGACAGATCGCCGAATGTCAATCGGGAATCTATCGAGTATGTATCAGATTCCAGTTGCGAGGGTTACAGGGAGTTTCAAAAACAACAGACCGAAAGAAGAAATTTATCCCCGATTGCCGCGTCTAGTGCTTTCACGATTGACAACATCCTTGGAAGAAATGAGAAGAGAGATCAAACTTCGAGAATAGATAGTTCTGGTGATAAAGAAGAGGATCAGGAAGAAATGGACGATAGGATTGAGGGACATTTTGTTAGACCAACAGCGATACCAGCCACACGTCCTGGTATGTCATAAATACTCTAAGTATTTTATTGTTCAGTAAAATTTTTATACGTGTACACACAAAAAGATAAGAAAAAGAAAAATATATATTATATTAGTTATATCAATTTTTGATACATGCGAGACACATCAGTAATCCAGTTGTATCTCTCTGTTTTTGGCAATTATTAAATATTTAATAACATAAAAATTAAATATATAGTAATATTTTTATACAGTATCTATTTAATTTTATATTTAAAATTTTATCCAAAGTTGAATGAAAAAAATATGATAAAATATAATATAATTTCTCCAAATTTAAAACTTATTTTTCTATGGAGTTATTTAAAGAATTATATTGTTTTAAGTATATATATTGTTTTAAAATGTTCTTTTAAGAACAAATTTTATACGATTTAATAGATCTAGAAGGAGGTTTATACACTCACACGGGATTCTCGTATCCTGACGGCGCTTTAACTGACTCTTCGGCATATTCCGCGACGTCACTTGCATCAGCCTCATTATTGTACAGTAGTTGGTTTGCTCAAACAAAACCTGGACAACTGTTTGGCTTACAAGGTAAGTTTAGAATCTTAGAGTAAATTTAGTTTATTATTAAATCATATCAGAGATCGCAATTTTTATCGGATAAAGTTTCATCTCTAGAAACAGAAAAAAAAAGAAAGAAAGATAGAGTAATTTAATTTGTCATTGAAAAATAATATTGCATCAAAGGTATCTTTGATTTATCCGACGTTGAAAACATTCAGGTATTGTCCAGCTCTGTCTCTCTACAAAAGTATTCAACAAATATTTTATACGCGCAAAGAAAATTGTTATGGTGCCAGATATATTTTTTCTTGCGTTCGTGAGAGGCACGAATGTTCTCGAGGAGAATCGCGACGACAAAGGACTCTAATTATTATCCACTCGTAATAACTTACCGCTGTAATTCCATTTTCGCGAACAATACCGAGAGAGGTGTAAGGTGGGCACCCTCTTTCTCGGCTTCAACGAATATTGGATATTATACGAGGCGCCTACGGTAACAGCTTTTCGACACGCGAGGTACACATCAGTGGCCCAGTTGTTGTATCCCCCCGCTTTTTTGGCACGTTTCGGCAAAATATTAAATACTTAGCCACATAAAAATCAACTATTACTTGACTCGTGTAATATTTCAGTCTTCTTGGGTTCTATTTTGACGCGAAATTTTCATACTCTATCATTGTTTTGAAAATTCCATACGAATAAATATAATTTCTTTGAATATATTCCGACACTCTCTCTATAGTACTACAAGTATAAACTACAGATAATAGATGTATAGGATTGCAGATTTGCAGTGTAAAATTTGCAAACGAGTTACCATAATGTCATAAAATTACGAGTCAATCTTCAGCTAAAATCCTAGATATTTTACGATTGTGAGATAAGATTGAAATCCGCCATCGCTGTTTCTTCCTTTCTGGCTACTATCCGCCATACTGTTAGGAGCCCATTTATCAGCACCGTCGGTCTAACTATCTTTCGCGAAGGTGTTAAATGTCTCTGTACACTCGTAAATCTTGGTCCCGCCGGTTCTTCTTCTTCGTCGCCGTACGTATTCTCCTTTCCGGTCACCAACAGTCTCTTTCTTCTAAGAAATGCAATCATTTTTTATTTGTGCAATTCGCCTATTAATTTTATAATCAAAAATATCTATCTTATATTGATATAATAATATAAAGCGGCTTTTGTGAGATATTTGCTAAATAAACTTCATTAATTTTATCGTATATAAAAACCGTGTTATCTTCTAATAAAATGTTAGATAAACATGTATTTTACATCGTGTAGCTAAAAAAACTACGCGCTCTTTAAATATTATTTGTAAAGCATACATCGAGTTTTGTATTGAACAGAAAAAACAACTATTGAAAGATTTTAAATCTTTAAGATCTACTGCGAAGATTATGAATTTGCACAATAGTTAACATATTGTTACAAATAAAATGTGTCGGCATATTTCAAATAGATATAAAAAATGTGTGCTACAAAAAAAATTTTTGTATACATTGAATACGGTAAGCTTATTTTATCCGGGATAAATCCACAATTTTCACGTTGATGTAATAATTTAGCCGATAAAACTGCGCCGTTTTACGTAGTCGTAGGCACGCTAGAAGGGTTCAGTAAAAACGCAAAGGTCTTGTACAAATACGCGACATCTATTTGTTGACTCGTCATGTAAGGGCCGCCCGGCTAACTGGTGATTAAACACGAGGAAAGAGCAAAAAAATTTCTATTTCTATGTGGAAACATCGCGATCTTGAGAGTTCCCGTCAGACAAGCCAATGCTATTTTCAGAGTTCCGCGAACAAACAATACCACGAGGGAAAAGAGAAAATAACACTCTCTCTGTTAGTATTAATAATTTTTTAAAAATTTAACATTGCACTTTTGTAAACTCTCGTATTTGCAATGTAACGTTACTAAATTATATACATTTTATATATATATATTTCTGTATACATAAAAATTATAAAA